TAATGTCTTTTGGAGGCCGAGGCGACAGGATCATCTGAGGTCAGGAGTTTGAGACCAGTCTACCAAACATGGTGAAACTCCCACCTCTATTAAAAAGACAAAATTTAGCGGACGTAGTGGTGCATACGTGTATTCCCGCTAACTCAAGAAGGCTGAGCATGAAGAATCACTTGGCCTGGGAGGTTGGAGGTTGCAGTGAGCCGAGTTGCACCCTAGCACCCAGCTGGGCAACAAGATGTGAACTCGTCTCAGAAAAAAAAAAAAAAAAAATCAGTTATTTACTGTGATTAAATCAAATCAATTTTGTGGTTGGGTTTGTGTCTGTTTGAGTCAATTTCGGCTTAGATCAAGGTCCAGCCCTCGACAGCTTTAGAGTTGCCAATAAGTATTATGCGTGTTATTTTTTAATATGATCAATTTTTATTTTAGATTCAGAGAGTCCATGGCAGGTTTGTTACTATGAGTTATCGTGAGATGACTGTGAGGTTTTGGGGTAATGATGATCCCATCCACCTTCGTAGTGAGCATAGTACCCCAGATAGGTACTTGTTCTGTCCTTGCCTTCCCCGTCTCTTTCCTCTGCCCGATCCGGTCCATTGAGTACGCCTGTGTCCTGTCTTCCATTTTATATGTCCATATGTCACCATGTAATGTTCATATGATCCATTTCTAAATAAAGAGCATGAAGCACTTGTTTTCTGTCTACGTTTAATTTTCTTGGAGTGATGGCTCTAGCTGTGTCCATGTTGCCAGCTGCAAAGACAGTCTTTTTTATGGCTTGGTAGTATGTTTACCAGTGTAAGATGTACCATTTCTTATCCAGTTCCCACTGGCGGATCTAAGTTGCTCCAGTTTTTATGTGGTGTATAGTGCTGTGATAATAGTGAATGGTGGCCCTTTTTGGTAGATTTTTTCTTTGGGTTAACAGCAAGTGGATGAGATTGCTGGGTAATGGTAGTTCCTAGGCGATTGTGAAGCAGAGTTTGAACCAGCTGGCAACATGGCAAACCCGTTTACTAATAATACAAAGAATAGTCTTGGCCATGGTGGCACAAACCTGTAGCCCACCACTTTTGGAGCCAAGATTGGAGAATTCAGCTTGAACCCAGAGACGGAGGTTTCAGTGAGCTGAATCAACCACTGTACTCCAGCCTGGGTGACAGACGGACTCGTCTCAACAGCATCATACAAAGAACACCAAATGACATGTGAGATACTGAAGCCGAGAAAAGAGGCAACGTATCACAGGACAGGGATCTGGAATACATTAGCAGGTCTGATTTTCGCAGTAACCTTGAGGCAGGGGGTGGGGCGAGGTGGAGTTGGTATAGTTTAAGGTTAATGACGAGGCCTGTCATTGAGAATCTTACAGCTGGAAAATTTCTTCAAAAATGGGGAGAGATTAGACATTTTCCAGGATTTTTTTTTTAAAGCTAAAAAAAATCTCTTTATCTCATCTGCCTACAAGGAGTGTTAAATCCTTCAGGTTGAAATAATGAGCTCTGGCGGTATCTATATAAGTACGATAAGCAGTATATGATATATAAAATCTGTGGTAATATGTAACAAAATAAAAAGACAGTATTTGCTATTTTGGTTATGTAACTGCTTTTTATTTCTACAGGATTTAAAAGACAATGCAATTGTTTATAAATCTGTTGTGTATCGTGGATAAGATTAGATTTGTTACTCATACATAGATTAGGAGCGGTATGCCGGTAGAATTGACTTGGTATGTGATTGACCTTAAGTTGAACTAAATCTAATAGATAGTTACTAACTTGGATCGCTCTATGTGTATTTTCATGTAACAAAAATGAAATACATAGAATATAAACAAAAGAAAATGAGATGGAAACAAATGTGTCATACACAAAAAAAAATAACTAAAGATAAAGACTAACAACTGAGAAAATAGCAAAATCAGTAAACTCTGACTTATAACACTTCCATTGCTACATAATCTGGAAACTGTTTCACATAAAACTGGAGTGAAAGAGACTAATATCTTACTTATAAAGTTAAGGTTATATGGGAAAAAACTAATTTTTTTTAGAAAATTTGAAAAGGGAAAAATAGCCTTATACGTATTAGTACATCATTGTTTATAGCTCTGGGAAAATACAATACATGTTGCTGTTCCAGACCATCTTCTGTGCCCCCCAAAAAACCCTATGGAGATATATCATTGTTACAAAAGTCTATTTTCAAATGGGAGCGAGTGATAATTTATTTTTTTTTTTTGAGATGGAGTTCTCGCTCGTTCAGGTTGGAGTGCAGCTGGCATGATCTCGGGTCACGCGCAAGGCTCCACGTCCCGGGTTCATTGCCTTCTTCGTTCAGTCCTCCTGAGTACTGGAGCAGGTACCCTGCACTGTCCAGTAATTTTTTTTGGTATTTTTTTTTTAGTGAGAAGGTTGCTGTTTAGCCAGGAGTGGGTTCTTGCGATCTCTTGACTTTGTGGATCCGCCGCTTGGCCTCCCAAGTGCTGGGATATAGGCATTTAGTCACCAAGCCCGGCCCCGGAGTAGCGTAATTTTTCCCAAGGTAGATATTATTCTGATTGATTCAATTTGGTGATTTCATTTTATAACATTGGTTAAGATGAAAGAATGAGGAGTAAGTCCCTCGCCATATAACTCAACAACATGTTCATAAAGCGTAGAGTTACTTTCTTTCGAAAGTCATTATATCTGATTTTTTAATGTAGCATATAGCATAGCTAATGACTCTTGCTGGGTCCATGTTATTCAATGAATATTGCCGACTATATGCAATTTTTGATAAAAATTGTAATGATACCAGCTAGTTATTGAAAACAATGAGCTCATTTAAATAAACACTATAGTCTCATATTAGGAAATAAAATCAGTGTGTCAGAGGGTATCTACGATTCCATGTTTATTGCGCTTATTTGCAATAATCAGATATGTAATACTAAAGAGAAAATAGTTGGGTATGGGAAAGGAAACTAATCTCCAGAAAGAAATACAGATAGAGACGTACAGGGAGTAAGTTATAAGCTAGGGAAGTGACAGTGGAGGAAAGAGAGATTTAAATGGTTGCCTTGGTGTCTGGTCATTCTATTTTTGATTTAAGGTCTTCATGAGATCCAGTATGTCTGTTGTCCTTGGATATCATGTCCATGTATATCAGCTTATTTTTTCATCATAAGCTAATGATTTTTTTTTTTTTTTTTTGAGTCGTTTTTTTTTGTTTCAGTGTCTGTTGAGTCTAGTT